ACTTAGCAGTATCTAACTATATATATATAGTTAGATACTGCTAAGTGACCCATTGATATATTCTGAAGATGACAGATCTCATACCTGGCACTGTTCTGGCAAACTGCAGCAGCCTTTGTTGGTGGTGGGGTACGACATCAGACAGACCCTCCCCATCATGTGCACACGGCCAGTCGAACACCTGCCCACGTGTAAAGAAGAGACAACGTGAGCGCAACCACTGATGCCTGCTGATGTGTTTGACTTTAAACCGTGACCGACCGTAGCGCTGCTGCTGTCTTCGTCTCTGAACTGCCGATGAGCCTCCACCATCTTGTCCACGAGATATTTCTGTTCCCGGGTCAAACCGGCGGACAGAACCTGGAGTTATCACAGCACAGGATTAAACAAGTTTCGGATATGAACCCAGCACATTAACGTCATACCATGACACTGCCACCACCATGCTTTACTGATGAAACAGGGCCATACTACATAAGTTGAACACAGCTTTCTGATAATTTTAACAACAAAAAAAAGATTTCCATTTCATGTGTGTGGGATACCTGTCCAGGTGTTCTGCTGGTAGAGCTGACCCTCCTACTGTCAGTGTTCTCCTCCTCCTCCTGTCCTCTGCTTTTACCTCCTTTTCTTAGTCGTTTGGACTGACACTGAACTTCTGTTAGCAAGCCTGCGAGGGTGGGGGATACACATTTAACACAACAATCAGTCATTTATTTATGTTTTGTTTCCAAGGAGACACATTTTCCTGCAATCCTTAAATCTTTCTGATTTTCAGTTTTTCTTAGGACTTCAGTATTTAAATTATTGTCATATATTTGATCATTTTACGAAAATGTACTTTTTTTGTTCTTGAGCGTCTTAACTATGACTTATGAATCAATTAGGCATAAAAAGTCTCCTAAACTCTGTGTATGAATCAATGCGTCCACACAAAACAGATTATTTAGCAATAAAAAAAATTTGACTGACTGAAAAAAGGATTTAAACTCAGGTCATTGTTGGTTTTTTTACCATCCATCCATGGATTTGTTCATCTGCTGTGGATACATTTTTTGTTCTGACACTTTTCAGTTGTAAGCACATGCTGCACAACCCATGTCCCATTTAAATAAACTAAACAAGTATTTTCTTCATGATTACCATCACTTGTTTCCTCTGGCTGTATAGAGTTAAACCTTTATTTTAATCCAACTGAAGCAGATTTTCTTACACTCAGCCAGCATTCCAACAGCCCGGCACTTCCTCAGCCGACAGTCCTGGCACTTCCTCCTCATGTACATGTCCATCTCACAGCCGCCGCCGCTCTTGCAGTGATACACGGCCTTCTTAGTCACGCTGCGCCTGAAGAAACCTGCAGGAAGACCAACACAAACGCCTTCAGCTGCTGCAAACCAGTTTACAATTTCTGTGAAAGTGCAGTGAGAACACTGATGGCTGAATGACTGGAATGCTAAAAATATTAAACATTAGCTAAAAGCTCAAATTAGAAAAGCTAAAAGTCCAAATTACTAAACAACAGCTAAAGACTAAAATTAGCAAAGCCAAACTCAAAAGCTACAATAAACTAGAAAAAAAGCATTCACTAAAGTTGGCAAAAAAGTAGCTAAAAGCTAAAACCAAAAAAAAACAGTAGCTGAAAACACAATCAAGCAGAAGAGCAGATAAAAGCTAAAATAAACAAAACAGTTGCTTAAAGTTAAAACCAACAGAAGAATAACTAAAAGCTACAACCTGCCACACAGTAGCTAAAAGCTAAACTTATCAAAGCTGTAACTAACACTTATAATCCAGCAAAACAGTAGCTAATTGATAAAAATATTAAAAAAAAAAACTAACTAAATGCTAACTTTAGCAAAACAGTAGCTGAAGGCTGAAACCAGCAGAACAGTAGCTAAAAGCTAAAATGATCAAATCTGTAACTAAAACTTATAATTTGTCAAAACAGTAGTCAGTTGGTAAAAATGTAAAATAGTAGCTAAATGCTAAGTTTAGCAAACCAGTATCTGAAGGCAGAAACCAGCAGAACAGTAGTTAAAAAGCTAAAATTATTAAATCTGTAACCAAAACTTGTAATCTGGCAAAACAGTAGCTGAAGACAGAAACCAGCAGAACAAAGCTAAAGTAAAAACTGAACATAAGAAGAAAAAAAAATGCTAAACAGTACCTAAAAGTAAATTTTACTAAAACAAAAGCTAAAGACTAAAATAACTAAAACCAAAAATAAAGGCTAAAATTGACAGACATGTGCTAGTTAGCAAAACAGTAGCTAAATGCTAAAACCATCAAAACAGTAACCAAAAACAAAAACAAGCACCCCACCAAGAAAGGCTAAAAGCTCAAAATAGTAAAACAGTAGCTAAATATTTAAGAAAACAAAATAGTAGCTACAGCCTGAAACTAACAGAATAGGAAATTTAAGCTAAAACCATTTACACAGTAGCTGAAAGCTCAAATGAAGCAAGTACACTGAAGATGATCATAAACCCTCAAATTTCTTGCAGATATGAAAAGTTTTCTATTAATTTAAGTTCAAATAAAAGATAACTTATGTTGTTTTTTTTATTCTTGAAGTTATAAAACAAATATTAAAGCTGTGATGTTCTGAATGAGCTGAACATTTTGATACCTGAATGACTGAAAGAGCTGAAAGTCAGCTGAAGCAGTGGGAGTCTATAAACACAGAGAGGAAATGATAAACAGGAAGTGTTGTTTTAAATCAAACACCTTTACATCCCTCACAGGTGAGAGCGTTGTAGTGGTACCCTGATGCTTTGTCTCCACACACCACACACAGCTCGTCCGGGCCTCTGCTCCTCCCTCCTGACCCCACCCGGGACCTCCGGCCAAGAGCCACCGTCCCAAATCCATGAGCCAAAGCCCCAGAGAACAGGTCCGGACTGGGATCACAGGGGGCATCCAGGCAGTGAGGGTTGTACTGGCAGGGAGCGTGGCAGAGCTGCGAGGATGAGGCAGAGGAGGAAGGTGAGGGGGTGGAGGAAGATGAGGAGCCATAGAGGGAGAAGGGCAGGTTAGCAGGGAGGTACTGCTGCTGGCTGTGAGGGAGCAGTTGGAGGTCTGGGTCCGGGAGGGGATAACCCAGAGGCTCAGCCAACATGTCTGAAAGAGAAAACATGAGACAAAATAACTGATTGATGTTAAAATATTAAAAATGATTCAGAATGACACCACAGTGTTTATGCTGCAACTCCTCACCAGTGCGGTTTTAGTCTTAGTTAAAGTTTCCATAAATCTGGAAAAAAGTTGGTGCATTCATTCAACCTTTATTTATACAGGTTAGTCTCACTGAGTCACGAGGACTCATTTACAAGAGAGAGCAGTTTGAAACAAAAACCACAGATACTGTGACTAAGATGAGTGAAAGAAGTGGCGCGTGCTTTATTCACACAAGGGGAGCTGTTGGTCAGGTTACTTCTTGTCGTGCCATTAACTCTAAAATAGTTGTTGAATCAAGTGTTTATTTATGTAGGTAACCTGTTAAAATACTGTACACCAGAATACAGGAAATGGCATCTTCTTAACTCAAAATTTTCTGTGGGGGAGGACACCCAGAAAATTGGACCCCCACCACCACCAATGTGCTTAAGATATTAATTTAACATGAGAGTTAGGGCTTGTTAACTGCATTTTAAAACCAAACATACTCTTCATCTCCTACCTGACATTTACAAAGAAAAAACAACTTCATGTGAAATGGAGTGAAAAACACAGCAGGAGGTGTGGAGGAGGTGCACACGCACCACTGCGGGCTCCTCTCGGCTAACATGATAAACAATAAAAATGTTTCCTTCTCATATTTAGGCTTCAGCTGAAACACCAGAGAGACTGACTGAAATGTGAGGACACTCGATGACGCCGGTCAAAGACGAAGAGCGTCACAGGACTGGGACTTGACGTGACTCGTGTGGATTCACTGGTTTTATGACTCTGAAGATTAAAAAAAAAAACTGACGGTGAAATTTCGTGAACTTGTTCAGGCTGAAGCAGGAAGCAGCTTAATGGACTTTTTGATCCTCTTCTTTTTGTCTCTGAAGGACCATTTCTGTGTTGTCTCCACTGGGAAAACGTAGTCACTGGCAGCTTGTGAAAGTCCAGCTGGACTGGGTCAAACAGAACCACACTGGGGCCTTATGGACCCTAACTCTGAGGACTCGCTGCTAAAGATGAAAACTGAATTCAAATGGAAGGGATGTGAAGATAAATGGTCCCAAACAAGAATTTATTCATTTGTTTGTGTCTCGTTCCTGTTGTCTCTGAATCCAGTCGAAGCAGATGGCTGCAGATCCTGAGCCTGGTTCTGGATCCTTCCTGTTCAAAGGAGTTTTTCCTTCCCACTGTTGCCAGTGTGATGCTCAGGATGAGCGACTGTGATGAAGTGAAGGGTCAAGGCAATCTGCTGGCTTCCTTAGATAGATAACGTTTACTAATTGGCCTTTTGTAATGTCTGTGAATGTGTTTGTACAGTGCCCTGAGACAAAAGGTTTGTAAGTTCAATCATCCAAAAAGTTTAAATCAAGTCATCTGGACAGTTTGAGATGACTTTTATTGTGAAGGGGTGCCAAATAAACTGATCACAATTTAAGTTGATGTCAGAATCTGTGTTTTTGGTCGTTTCTTTTTGTGATTGTATTTTTCTTCTTTAGTTTTAACGTTTATTTTAGTAGGGGGAGTGGTGATGCAGAGGTTAGAGAAGGCAAGCCTGTGATCAGAAGGGTGCTGGTTCAACTCCCCAGACTGACAACCATCATATTTTTCCTCATTCAGTCTTTCCTGTCAAGCCACGCCCACTTACACCTGTTCCCTGTTATCACCCGTCTTCAGTTTCTTATCATCTCCAGTCCATTTAGTCTCCGTCATGTTTCCATGCCATATCTTATTTTACCTAACGTTCCTCAGTTTTTCCATTTGTTGTTTAGTATTTTTTGCAGCCAGATTTTTATTTTTGTTTCTTTGTCAAAACTTCAACATTTTTGTATCCAAGTAATGTTGGTCAGCATTCCTGGATCTGACCTAACCAAGACGTGATAATAGATTAAAGGCATATTTAAACAAATACCTTGACAGATTTAGACCTGTGTTTTTTTATTTTATTTTAAATAACATATAATGATGTAACTGTAGGTGATGAGTTGTCTCATCACAGCAAGACAGCTGCAGGTTCAGAGCCAGCTGTGGTCTTCCTGTGTGGAGTTTGCATGTTTTCTCTCTGCGTGTCAGGGTTGCCCGTTTCCTCGTGCATTTCAGGTTCAGTGCTAATAATAAAGTGTCACTAGGTGTGAGAGTGACTGTTTTTCTTTATGTGGCCTTCTTTTTATCATTTCAGGTTTTTCAAAAGCTGACTTTACTTTTTGGTCAAACGTCCAGAACTTTGTTCATTAAAACAACTTTTTTTTTTTTTTTATCTAAATCTCTTCTGAATCTTAGAATTTGATCTGAAGCTAAATATGCAACAAAATGAAAAGTCTTGATTTGATGCAGTGCAACACAACTTGCATCTCGTTAGCCTAAACATGTATGAAAACTTCATATTTAGCTTCAGACCTGTCTCTTGCTGCTTCCTCTTTGTATCCAGATGTTTTCTGTCTCTACCAGATGATGATGGAGGGTTAGAGCGAGGGGGGGGGGGGGGGTCCTTGTTTTTTGGCGTGTGACATAGCTGCAGTTCGTACTGTTTGTAAACCATTTGTGCGCTGTCTAAACACTCCTCAGCCTCCCTTCCATCCCACGCATGCCAGGGAGCAGAATGACACCCGCTAACAACCCCCAGTGGCTCCCCCCCCTGCCCCACCTCCAACAACTGGGAGAACTTGCTGATATGTGTCAGTATAAATAGCTCCTCAGCCAGCTGAACCTCCTCACGGTTTCTTTTATTTTGTTGTGTCACTGAGTTCTGCATTCTAACAGTAGATCTGTGTCTCGTAACGAAACGGAACGTAGAACCGACCCACATGTTCTGATTAAACTCAGGTACATAATATGAATCTAAACCTTCTATTTGTAAGAGGGATGGTGGAAGAATTGTCAGGATTGAAGTCAGTTAGCAATCTTTAAAGGAACCATCGGTTGTCTTTCAGGCTTTTAGAGTTTTAGACTAAAATCATCTCATGCTGAGAAATGACGGAGTTGTAGAGTTTTTATCAAACCGTGAAAGAAAAGAATGTTAAGTGCAATCCCAAAATGCCACACTCAGAGTGCGTGTGTACCACAAGTTTGAACTCACGTCTGTACATTTCACTGCAATATAGCTAAGATAGGTCCTAATATAAGTCTGTTGGAGTCAGCCTCCCCACCATCACAGACATCTACACCTCCAGATGCAGGAAGAGGACCACCCGCATCATGAAGGACCTCACTCATCCAGCACACACACTTTTTGCCCCGCTCCCCTCAGGAAGGAGGTTGAGGAGCATTAAGTGTAGAACCACTAGACTGAGGAACAGCTTCTACCCTGAGGCTGTTAGACTCATGAATCTCTAACCAGAATAATCACTGTGAAAAATCACATCATGTTGCTGCTGATCTGTTTCATGCTGCTGCTGATCTGTTTCATGCTGCTGTGTTCATGCGTGCTCATCTGCTCACACAGACTCATGTTCGGGCCGCTATTTAACGTATTGTTTTTATACCATTAGTGCTTAGTGTATTTTTAGTTAACGTTTTTCTAGTTCATAGCTTAGATCTTATTACTGTTTTTCTTTTACATTTTAATACTTTTGTTGGATGTAACTTTCATTCATCCTTTATTTAGACAGATAAATCCCATTGAGCCTCGAGGACTCATTTACAAGAGAGACCTGAAAACTGTAACTGGGACCCTGTGTACATAATGTCATTCCACCACATGTACTACATGTGGTGGAATGACAAATAAATAACCTTGAATCCATCAGATGCAGCAGCCATCTTGAATTGGACTGATCTTCAAAACACTGATCAGACATAGACGTTCATCCAATGATTACTTTGTGAACGTTTTAATAAAATCCATTTAGTGGCTCGTTAGATTATTTTGCTAAAAGAACGTTTGCACCAGTTTTAAACAAAGATCTTGTGAAATCTGTTAGCCCTCAGTTTATGTATTCAGGGTCAGTCTCAGCTACTACTACACCAAATTTCATTTACTGTCGTTTATATTTTTTTTAAAGTTGAGTTGTCTGTGGCAGCCATCTTGAATAGTGTTGACTCCTAAAAGTAATCAGTTGTAGATCTACATCTGTCACTTTCTGAGAGGTTCTGTGAAATTTCGTCTGGTTCATTAGATATTTTGGAAAAAGACCCAAAACATTTTTGTTCTGCATTTGAATTTTGGCAGAGGTTGTTATCAGTTCAGACTTCATCAAATTTACAGCAATAAACAGTCTGCAACAGATCATATCCATCCATCCATCCATCCATCCTCCACTTGATCCAAAGTCAAGTAGTGGGTGCAGCAGCTTGAGCAGAGAGGTCCAGGCATCTCTTTCCACAGCCTCCTCTTCCAGCTCTTCTAGGAGGAAGGTGTTCCCAGGCCAACTGAGAGACATTGTCTCTCCAGCATGTCCTGGGTCTTCCCCGGGGTCTCCTCCCAGTCAGATATGCACGAAGCACCTCCCTAGGGAGGCGCCCAGATGACTGAACCACCTCATCTGGCTCCTCTTTATGTGGAGGAGCTGAGTCTCTCCTGGATAACTGGACGTCTCACCTTATCTCTAAAGGAGAGTCCAGCTACCCTGTGGAGGAAACAGTTTTCAACCTCCTGTATCCACAATCTCATTCTTTGTTCATGGCCGTAGGTGAGAGTAGGAATGTAGACCAACCAGTAAACAGAGAGCTTCACCTTACAGCTCAGTTTTCTCTTCACTACAACGGACCGGAACAGAGTCCACAATACAGCAATCACTACACCAATCCATCTGTCAATCTCGCGCTAGAGATTATATGATTAAACAGTAGATCTGTGTCGATATGAGCTTCGGTTGGTTTAGGACATTGGTATTTAAGAGTTCAAGAGTTATTAAAAAGTACTTTGACCATGTCGTACTATCACATCTGAGAAAGCCTTTAGGTTTTTAATTCACAGTAAAGATGAGAGAGCAATCAACCAAAAATAAGATTTCATGAAGGAGTATTTTTTATACAAACTGCAGAGTGTTTTCAGGATAATCTGCAGAGACGGACACTGACAAACTGTTTATGTTGGACTTTAGAAAGTTAAATTACAACTTTAACAACTGTGAAATAAGCTATGACACAATGATGACACAGATTAAATAAATTAATATCTACGAGAAGCGATAAAGAGGAAAAAAACGGGAGAAATCTATAATTGCACCACAAGAACATCTGCCTCGTCTTCAAACGTTCATATCAAGACATGAACACTTCAGGGTCTAAAAACACAAAACCGAGCAAAGAGAGTGGAAGAAATAAGCAAAGCAATCCTGAATCCTGTGATGGTGGACTCACCGTAGTACTGGAGCTGCTCTGTGTAGCAGTAACCCTCCGAGGGGGAGAGGAACCCCCCTGCTGTAAAGCTCATGTCAGGCTCCGTCCACTCTCTCATCTGGACAGCAAGTCTTCTCTCCAGTTAATAACGCAGGATCTATCTTCTCACACACACACAAAGACATAAACACAGTTGCACAGAGGAGGATTCACACAGATCATGAAGGATCTGGGAAGTGAGGAGACATTCCTCAATCCCCACGATGGGTTCAGGTCTCGTAGCCGTCCCAGCTGATATTCCAGCCTATTAAAAAAAAGTCATGTCAGAGAGGAAGAGTGCAGCTGAGGCTCTTCGTCAGAGGCTGATAAAGTGCTGGAGGAGGGCCAAAGTGTCCCTGAGGGGGTAGACAAAAGGGAAAGTAGGGACACCCAGGAAGGACGGGGTTGGAACTGGGGTCCAAACAGCTGGACTTCACAGACCGGAGAGGAACGATGGTGACCTTCTCCCTCGTGAGCAGAGTGAACAGCGTTCAGCACTTCTTGTTTTGTAGGATATAGGAGTTTTAATGCAAGTTGTGAGGTTTAAAACAGGTTCAGATCCATATTCTTTATCTGTAACTATTTATTGTACCTGCCCATGTTTGTCCTCCAGACCTGGGAGTGTGTTGACCCTGCCTTCTTTGTTTACTGCTGTTCTGTTTGTGCTGCAGTTAATATTAGACAGCAGTTAGATCTGAAGGGTCTCGGGGACGTGTGCCTCCCCCACGGACAGTTAGCCAAAAAAGTGAAAGGATTCAAGGCCTGAGAATCTCCGAGGAGGGCCGTCCGACACGCAGCTCGCTTGCAGGATAAATGGTGTCCTCCCGTCCTCCCATCGACCCCTCACACTGACTCAACTGGGACGGAGCGGTGGATGGCAGAGGGTTAGAGGGAGAGCTCATCTCTCAGAGCTTTACTGGTACCATCACAATCCATCTGAGTGAGGAATGAAACAGGAATGCAGCTGCGAGCTGCACAGATTGTTTCCTTTGAAGAGGATCAAACAATAATTTGATGCAGAGTTGAACTTAAAGAAACACACAAAAACGTAATAAATGTTAAAAACAGACATGAACATTTCCTGCAAAGTTATACTTGTAGACCAACAAAGTCCAGGCTCAATAATCCAGGTATACAATCCAACAATTTTCAGTCAGGTCATCTGG